ACAAGGCTCTTGGGACAGGTAACATTTCTCAAAGGATATTAAAATAGGTTAAGGGTTGTATAAGTAATACCCATACAGAATTTATCGCGAATGTTTGAGTAGGTTTCAGAAGACTGGAAGCTGGCTAATGTTACACCTGTATTTAAGGAATGTGATATATGTTAACGATATTGATAAGGGATTTGTCCCTCAAATGTTTTATGTTAACAAGCTACTAACGATATTTATATACAGTCTATTAATGATATAACCTCAACACTTAAGACACTAAGTTGTTTCTACCACCACAGTATTGAATGTTTTATGTGTTTCGCAGGAAAATGTTGTTTTACAGATCCAATAATTTTCGCAGGGGTCATTCTTCACGCAGAAAACAGGCTGACACCGCACGTGAAGTTTAAAAAAGGATGTTTGTAGTATGTAAAAATATTCACTTTAAGTAAACCAAAGTTATCGCACTTTTTGTAAGAATCCAATTTCTCGTTTTTCTTAGTTTCCTCCGTGTGTTTTGTCAGCAATATTTCTTGAAAACAACTGAATGAATTTGGACGAACACTTATATTATGACCCAACTTAGAAATGATTAGTTTTCGCAGGGTCAAGAACACGAAAATTCAAAAATGTCTGCTAACATGGGACCGATATTTCACACTATTTTTGCTCTATAAATCCGTCAAAAATGATCGGATTTTAATGAAACTTTGTGGAAATATGTAGAATATTATTCCTCATTTTTCTGCCCAAAAATGGTCCGTGTCCATTGATAACGACGGACATTCAGACGCATTTTCGTATTTTTTGAGAGCCGAATATGATCAATGCTGCGTGGCGGAGGTATGCGCTCTTCTGAATGCTTCCCTAGTAATACCTGGACTTGTCAGTGAAACATAGGTGGAATATCTTTGCTCTGCTCATACAGGATAACGAAACCCGATTTTTGGTGTCGTAAGCCAGAAGATTTACCGCTGAGCCCCTGGCGGGAAGAACTTTTGTTTGGGGTACCGACACCTAAACTTAAATTGGTAATTAATGAATACATGTCTATGCTCACTATCCTTACTCGGTCAGTGACCTAAGTGTCATTTTAAGTTTTAATAAATTTGGTAAGCTATTTTTTCAACTTTCTTCATTAGTAGAAGGCCGGGTGTGGCTTAGTGAGTCCAAGGATTCAGAGTTCATGACCCGTTGCTGCAAAAACACATTCCGCATATTGGAGCTGTAGTTGCGCTCTAAGAATGACGGCTAAATTATTCGATCGGATAAGAATAGCCCACGAATTGGCGGTGGGCACTGTTGATTAGCTGCCTTCCTCCTACCAGTTCAAAATTACGGACAACTATGTGCAACTAAGCCTTTCGTACTTTTGCGCGAAATTCTAAAACATTCAATAGAAGAATGCTTTTGTAAATAAATTTCCACTAAACTTTACGCGTCTCAAAAAGTAGAAATTTACGATGAGATCAATTAATAAAAGTTGATCACACATGAAAAAATTATGACGTCACTTCCTGCATAGGCTCATGCTTAAGACAAAATGTTCCAAGATGCTCGAGTTTAATTTTGAAAATTATTACTTAAATTATATATTCAAACTTTAAATGAAACCGTGTTTATTATTGCCCCCATCCCCACCACCAACAGACCATACTAAACAAGTGGTTAGAATAATTCATCTTTCGGTTAAATCCTCCAATCAAAGTAAACAACTTGTTCACGAATAGCTGGTTATTTTATCTTCTGATTTAAGAGAACACATACAAAACTGTTGTAACGGTTCCCACCAATAGGCACGCACTAGTCATTATCTGGTGTCAAAAGGTACGTGACAATGGATGTTACAATCTCCCGTAGGAGTGATCACAAGCCACAAGCTGTCGTTCTAATGGTTTGGTGACATCTGTGGAAGTTAGACGGTTTCTTACAATAACATTTACGAGAAACACAAGTAATTCTTCTTCACTGCTTCATGGTAGATTCCACCGCTGCCATCAAGTACATCGTTCAAAGTGTGAGATACAGAACCACTAGATGCTCACGTGGAGCTTCTATTTTTTTTTTTATTCTGTGTCGCGTGTATTAATTACTTCTCAATCGCCATTTTCATTCTTAACTGTCCTTTTAACCTAAGTTACACACAATTAGTTAGATGTTTATTTCAAGAATCCTTAGCTCGGCAGTTATGTAGAAAACTTTTCAATAACAAGAATAAAACTTTGTTTTCTATTGATCCACTCGTGAAAACAAACTCTCAGTTAAAAAGGCGAATTACACTGGATCTAATAGTCACAGCATTACTCGTATTTCGGTTTTTGCACCAAGCGTGATTGTTCACTTAAAACAGGCGTAAAAAAATATTACGTGAAAAATATCCTTAACATGAAAACTTAAATAGATTCTTCAGTAATAAGTTTTATCAAATTCCTTGATAATAGGGTTTAGGTGTTATAAAATTATCGACCCCCTTTCCCCCAAATAAATAAAATAATAAGTAAGCTACAGTTTAAACATACATTCCTTGCCTTCTAATTATACACATCAGGCTATTTCCTATATTTTTACACCCTAGGATTTTTACGTTATTTAATAAATTTAGTACTTTATGGCTCTACTAGATGGCGATAGTGCTCCTATCTTAAAACACGACTTATTTTCATTTTCAACTTTTTTTTTCACATCACCTCTACTAGGTTCCAAGAAAACAAAAGATGGGCGGCAAAATATATGTGTATAAATCATGGTTTAAGTAGCTTGAGTGATTGTTTACCAAGAATGTAGGTGTAACATTATATTAGTCTCGACTGAGACGGTGTCATTAGTTAGTTTGCAAAATAATCCAAGTAGTATCTAAAACGACAGAACCAAGAAAAACCTGATAATTCAAGTTCTTACATTTCTCTAAAGTCCCTTCCTTTAGCTGTAGTTTCGCTGTATAGTAGATATTGAAAGTGTAGTACGCAGACATATTATATGCTTTCTACCTTTTATTAACGTAGGAATTTAAAAAAATCATATTGTCTAACACCCTGCAGTTTTAGCATAAACACGTAGGACAGAAATCCGTTGTTAACGTTTTAGTTACCTTTCTTACTTAGTTGTTCTCTAACATATGGATAAAATGCTGCAAGTTCGAACACTGCGTTTAACAAGTTAAAGACAGCAATGTCCTTCATTGGCCGAGTAGCCGGTATCTAAGAACCACTAGTCACTTGGTAACTCGTATCGTTATGGGTAAATCCGGCGTTTACAGTTTGTACGGCACGTTGGATTCACATCGGTTCTACTTTGTCATCACAGTGGAAATATATCTTGCGTGAAAAAAGCTGGTTATTGATTTACAGATTCTATACAAGAAGGCTTCCCTGAGTCCGCACACTGTGCTTATTTGCTTTGCAATAATAATATTATAGATAGTATTTAACTTTACGTCACGCGTTTAGACGGTTTATTGTTCAGTTAAAGAAAAAAATGTAACAAACTCAACAACGTAACATGATTAGAGTTAAACAAAGAATGCAACAAGATCAACAGTGTAACAAGATTTAGAAAATACAGAATACAAAAATTTAAAGAAAGACCATTAAACAAATAATGCAATAAGCCCAACAATGTAAAATATTTAAACAATAAAAGGGTTAAACAAAGAATACAATAAGCTCAACAATATAACAATACTTAAACAATGACAGGGTTAAACAAAGAATGCAATAAGCTCAACAATGTAACAATATTTAAACAATGAAAGGGTTAAACAAATGAAATAAGCTCAACAATGTAACAAGATTCAAATAATGACAGGTTTAAATAAAGAGTGCAATAAGCTCAACAATGTAACAATAGTTAAACAATGACAGGTTAAACAAATAATGCAACAAGTTGAACAATGTAACAATATTCAAACAATGACAGGGTTAAACAAAGAATGCAATAAGCTCAACAATGTAACAGTACTTAAACAATGACAGGTTAAACAAATAATGCAATAAGCTCAACAATGTAACAATATTTAAACAATGAAAGGGTTAAACAAATGAAATAAGCTCAACAATGTAACAAGATTCAAATAATGACAGGTTTAAATAAAGAGTGCAATAAGCTAAACAATGTAACAATACTTAAACAATGACAGGTTAAACAAATAATGCAACAATTTGAACAATGTAACAATATTCAAACAATGACAGGTTAAACAAATAATGCAACAATTTGAACAATGTAACAATATTCAAACAATGACAGGGTTAAACAAAAAATGCAATAAGCTCAACAATGTAACAATACTTAAACAATGACAGGTTAAACAAATAATGCAACAAGTTCAACAGTGTAACAATATTTAAACAATGAAAAGGTTAAACAAAAAATGCAATAAGCTCAACAATGTAACAATACTTAAACAATGACAGGTTTAAACAAAGTGCAATAAGCTCAACAATGTAACAAGATTCAAACAATGACAGGGTTAAACATAAAATACAATAAGTTCAACAATGTAACAATATTTAAACAATGACAGGGTTGACAAAAAATGCAATAAGTTCAACAATGTAACAATATTTAAACAATGACAGGGTTGACAAAGAGTGCAATAAGTTCAACAATGTATCAAGATTTAAACAATGACAGGGTTAAACAAAGAATGCAATAAGTTCAACAATGTAACAATATTTAAACAATGACAGGGTTGACAAAGAATGCAATAAGTTCAACAATGTAACAAGATTCAAACAATGACAGGGTTAAACAAAGAATGCAATAAGTTCAACAATGTAACAAGATTCAAACAATGACAGTTATGTGAAGATCATAAAAAAGCAAAAATTATTTACATGATAAAAAAGAAAGTAAATAAAACTACAATGTGGCTCATTTTGTTCAGAAGTGAATAATTCAATACCATCTTTGAACTGAACCTATCTGACTTCGTTGTGTCTGAAACTAATATTAGGTAAAGCAGTTTTTATATCCTCCCTTTAGTTAAAAATAAGTCTAAGGAATACCACTCACATAATTAAAGAGCCTGTTTTAATATTTTAAGTAAAAGATATTGTAATACACAAAAAGCCATTTTCTTCTCAGTATTTCCATTACTTATATAACATTCTGAAATATCAAATTATGGTTGCGATACATTTCTCGAGCTGCAAGAGAAAATTTTTACCCACATTCTGTTGTTTTAATTTTACGTACATAATTGTGTACATCCAAAGTTAAACTTATGAGAAAACAGATCTTCTGTCTCACCTAGAAGTAATAAAAAAGCTTGGATTGCCTAATTCACATAAAATAAAATACTGTACAGATGGTTACACACACTTTTTTACGTGAATGTGTGACTGTCTGACTTACTTCTCAACCAAACATGAAGCGAACTAAAGGATAGTGGGGAAATGTAAATAAGGCACATGCCTGATGAGGCATGACAAGGCACTCGATTATCACTTGCTCTGGGCCAAGCTGTAACTGTTAGCTAGTAAGAAAGGCTATCAGTCTCTTGCCTAATGGTAAACTATTAGAAGTCCAACACATGACAGCAGTGGTTCTCTTGCCTAATGGTAAACTATTAGAAGTCCAACACATGACAGCAGTGGTTCAACATTCAATGTACAGTGTGTAGATAGATGTAATGTCTTGGTTAGACCAATAAATCTGTATGGAACAGACAGTATTGGAAAATTTAATGTAACACCAGGATTTCAAGTTTGATCTCATTTAAGTTCTTTCCATTCTTTACAGCTAACTTACATCACCTTGTGTGCTTAGGGTAATTACCAATGACATAAACTTCACTGGTAGAACGTCTAGAGACAGTCTTGTTTGTAAAGTATAATTACCAACGACACAAACTTCACTGGTAGAACACATCTAGAGACAGTCTTGTTTGTAAGGTATAATTACCAAAGACACAAACTTCACTGATAGAACACATCTAGAGACAGTCTTGTTTGTAAAGTATAATTACCAAAGACACAAACTTCACTGATAGAACGTCTAGAGACAGTCTTGTTTGTAAAGTATAATTACCAAAGACACAAACTTAACTGACAGAATGTCTAGAGTCAGTCTTGTTTGTAAAGTATAATTACCAATGACACAAACTTCACTGATAGAACGTCTAGAGACAGTCTTGTTTGTAAAGTATAATTACTAACGACACAAACTTCACTGGTAGAACATGTCTAGAGACAGTCTTGTTTGTAAAGTATAATTACCAACAACACAAACTTCACCGGTAGAACATGTCTAGAGACAGTCTTGTTTGTAAAGTATAATTACTAACGACACAAACTTCACTGGTAGAACATGTCTAGAGACAGTCTTGTTTGTAAAGTATAATTACCAACAACACAAACTTCACTGGTAGAACATGCCTAGAGACAGTCTTGTTTGTAAAGTATAATTACCAACGACACAAACTTCACTGGTAGAACATGTCTAGAGACAGTCTTGTTTGTATACTTACTAAAGACAGCATACTTCAACAGTAGAATGCCTAGAGACAGTTTTGTTTGTAAAGTATAATTACCAAAGACAGCATACTTCAACAGAGGGATGCCTAGAGACAGTCTTGTTTGTAAAGTATAATTACCAAAGACAGCATACTTCAACAGTAGAACATGTCTAGAGACAGTCTTGTTTGTAAAGTATAATTCCAAAGACAGCATACTTCAACAGTAGAACATGTCTAGAGACAGTCTTGTTTGTAAAGTATAATTCCCAAAGACAGCATACTTCAACAGTAGAACATGTCTAGAGACAGTCTTGTTTGTAAAGTATAATTCCCAAAGACAGCATACTTCAACAGTAGAACATGTCTAGAGACAGTCTTGTTTGTAAAGTATAATTCCCAAAGACAGCATACTTCAACAGTAGAACATGTCTAGAGACAGTCTTGTTTGTAAAGTATAATTCCCAAAGACAGCATACTTCAACAGTAGAACATGTCTAGAGACAGTCTTGTTTGTAAAGTATAATTACCAAAGATAGCATACTTCAGTGTTTAAATTTAATGCTGTTTTCTAAAACCCCTCTGTTTCTTAAGATTCTTAATGTCTTCTAGAAAAGGGGGAACCTAAAATGTAGGTACCAACATAGCAGCATCAGAAGTCTAAAAGGAATTACTTATTTTCTGATAAAATAGAAACAAACACTGAGTAAACAGCCGTATGAAAATTATTATTCTTTCTGTTTACAAATTTAGAAAACTTTTAACCAGTATCAAGCATTTCGATATTTTCATATAAAATAAATATATTTATATCAATGTTTCAAGTATGATAAGTCTTACAATTTGGGTATCTCTAATGATAATTTGTGCATGCATACATACCCTCATAACTGTGAACCTTGATGCACATTCTTTTTTGTTCTGATTGTATGATGCAATACCATCTCCATCAATGTACAAGTTGTAATAATAGGACCAACGTCTGGGACTTTGTAAGAGAATACTCACAAGTTCTACCATAAAAACTACAGCTGAAGTGACAGATTTATGTCTATTACAATTAAAGAATTTATAATATTTCTCTCTCTCTCTGTTTAACATAATCTTTAGAAATACTTGGGGTTAAAAAATATAAAAAAGACTTAGAACAAGCTGACTGTAACAAAAAAGAAAACAACTTAAGTAGGATCTGTCTATCAATACTATATATATATATATATATATATATCACATATTGTCTGACACTTCATCTGAAGGACTTGACCTTGAACAATCTTTGGTATCACTTTTCGAGACTTGCTTTGCCCATTTAGCAGATGTCTGAGCCCTGTAAGCTGCAGGATCAAACCTGGTGCTTGTCTGAGATGGGGTTGAGAAAACAAGGAATTAGAAGATATTACAAATAGCTTATTTAAAACGTTAATTAATTGTTCAGACATTGATATATTAATCAACATTTGTACTTAAGGGATACTTGGGCATTGACAAACGTTCTTCCAAGTTTAGTTAACATGTTAATTGGTTGTTTTTAATCAGCATTTATATTTGAGGGACACTTTATCATTAAAAAATATTCTTTCAAGTGCACTTAGCATGTTAACTGGTTGCATTTAATCAGCATTTATATTCGAGAGACAAAAAAATAATCTTCTTTAAAACTTATAAGAACTGCACATTTGAATACTTATGTTAAGACACAGCGATATAAGAGAGATGTATAATCTAATTTTTATGTTCAAAGTTCATACTTGTTTCTTTGTTTTTATTAGTGCAAAGCTACACAATGAACTACTTGCACTCTGACCAATGAGATTTCATATGTCTTTTATAGGAACTAATATCAATAAAAATATTAAGCTAATAGTAAAAATGGAACATCAAAGAAAAAACAATGTTGTTTTTTTTTTAATTCTTTCCATTTTCTCCAAGCATTTATTTCTCCTAATCTCTGCATTAACCGAAAATATATCTGGATATATTTGCTAGCCTACGAGCAGGGCCATTGCAAAATGTTTTGCCACCATGTGCAAATGTTGACTGTGCAGTCCATCCTCTATTCCCACTTTTCTGCCATTACAGGAATTCTACACAGTTACACCACAAAAACTTTCCACTTTGTGCAAGTGTGTGTGCCGCACCCCTCGGTTGCACCAGCCTTGTTTATGAGACTTGTTGTTTTCTGATGTATAAGAAACACTAAGCAGTTTTTCAAAGTATTGTAGAGAAAAATGTTCTGTTAGTTTTACACAATTCTGTTTTGAAGACCTTATGTTTGAAAATATTCTTAACAGTGATGAGACAATGCATTCTAATCTTTATAAGAAAAGCATATCTAATTAGCTATACTCATTATGAGGTTTAGTTTTAGTTTTGCTTTTAAGCAGGTAGCTTGCTTTGATCAGAAGTTAATATTATTCAAAAAAGGAACACAGTAGTGTACCTTTACAACTGTATAACAAGTTTCAACTAAATAATTTGTTCAACATTCTGTCTTGTTTTATCTTCAAAAATTAAATACTATTTCTACTGAAATGGGACCCATATATCTTTATTATTAGGAATATGTAGTTCGAATGATGAAATTATATGACACTTGAAATTGGAACTAACATCAAATTACCAAAGTTTTTTTTACAACACCCGCTAGAAAACATTCTCATAGTTTTTCAGGGATTAAAGTATAAGAAAAGCTATACAAGTGTGTGTGTGTGTTTATATATATATATATAATCCTATCATTGTTTGGTTAGATTTTCTTATTTTGTTGTTAACTACAAAGCTTCACAATGCCCCCCCCCCAAGTTTTTAGCATTATAACCCTTCAAACTTATTGCTGATTCATGGGGGGTAGGGCTGTTTAGTTAGGATAAATCAGTGAAGAGTTTAAAAAAAAAAGAATCATGGTTGTTATGCACAACTACAGCTCTTTAGACAAGCATTCCAGCTTCAAACAATCCTTACTTGTCGAATGATATACGGGGCATCTTTTGCAATCTGTACAAGGTTTACAGGGAAGGCACAGCTGTGAGGAGACAAGGCACAGTTTAGGAGAAACTCTCGACTGTAACTGATTCTGGATATACTGGTCACTGCAGATGATGGCTCTTGCTTGGATTCTACAACAGCATTGACACTGGACATTCTTGCAAAATGTGCTCTTCTTGCTTTCGCACTGAGAGCATTGAGAGTTGTAGTTGATTCTGCCTGAATGTGGTATAATTAAAAGGGTGTTAAATGAGAGCTCGCTAACCTTCTCTAAGTTAAATTATTATAAATTAAAGGTTTTAACTGTCTGCACAGATGGAAACGGATACGTACAAGAAAAGTGAGAGACAGAGAGACCAGTTATATTAACATTCAGTAACAATCTATGAATTATGACTAATTTATTTTCCAAGTAGATAACACCACAAGAGCATTTCTCATTGTACGTGCTGCAATATATATAGTTCATCAAAAACTATTATAAAAGATTAAACAAGAAACTTCAAAGCTCCATAGCCATTCCTAGCTCTTAGAGCAGTTTGAGGTGATTAAACTGGCCATTTGCTTACTCTCATCAGTGAAATTTATTAATGATAAAGACTATAAAAACAACTTTCTAGACAGCCACCAACACCCTGAGAACTGTGTCAAATGTGTTGTTTGTTTGGAATTAAACACAAAGGTACACAATGGGATATCTGTGCTCTTCTCACCAATGGTATCGACACCCGGTTTCTAGTATTGTAAATCCGCAGACATACCGCTGTGCCACTGGGGGTTCGTGTCAAATGTAACAAGATTAAAACAACAACCAAACAACACTATGAGCAATAATAAATTTGAGATTGTATTAAAAAAATATTTGATCTAATTAACAAAAGAATAGTGTGTATGGAGGACAATACAGTTGAGATAAAGTAACAAATATCAGTCGTACCTGTTCAACAGCTTCTTTACTACTATCAGGGAAAAGTGGTTGACGCACAACTTTTACTGAACTAGATTCAGAACCACTCAGGTTAAGAGCAACACGAACCTCCGGGTGACTAGGTGCTAAATCAAAATCAATGGATCAATTAAAAAAAACTCCAGGTAACTAAGTGCTATGTCAAAAATCACTGGGTAAATTAAAACAGACTCGGGGTAACTAGGTGCTAAGTCAAAATAAATGGTCAATTGAAACAAATTGAGGGTGACTAGGTGCTAAATCAAAATCAATGGGTCAATTAAAACAGGCTCAGGGTAACTAGGTACTAAATCAAAATCACTTGGTCAATTAAAACAGACTCCAGGTAACTAAGTGTTAAGTCAAAATCAATGTGTCAATTACAACAGACTTGGGGTAACTAGGTGCTAAATCTAAATCAATGGGTCAATTAAAAAAGATATTCAGTACAATCTGACATTGTCTACTTAGTTAAAGTTCCCTAAACATGAAAAAATTAAAAGTGAATTTTAAATAGGTTAAGAGCAACACGAATATCAGAGTGACTAGGTGCTAAATCTAAATCAATAGGTTGATTAAAACAGACTCAAGGTAACTAGGTGCTAAATGAAAATGATTAAACAACTCCACTGTAATTCATATTTATATTATACGCTGCACTGTTCTTTAATTTTTAACTAAAGAACAGAGCCTTTGTCTACCTTTCATCAGTCCAGGAGCAGGTTTACTTGAAACTGGTTCCACAGTAAAAGGTTTTGGCTCATTTACTGGCTGAGGGCTTTGAAGTGGCGAGTCCAAGGGGAGTTCAGCAACCTACAGCCGTCAAGAAGAAAAGTAAATTGCAACAGACTGATTTATACATACATGATGTGAAAGAAAAACTTAATGAACTCTTTATTTGGGACACAACTTTTAATGTTTCCTTACAGCTGTTCTAAGAACAGCACGTAACAATAATTTGTTCATGTTTCTTGCAATGCAAACTATTTTAACTAGCAGATTAATGGAATTGATCACAATCACTGAACAATCTTGTGAAATTTACATGAAATAATGCTAAAGACAGCAATTTTTTTATGTAGTTGTTAAGAAAGTTTAGACCATATCATGACAAATGTTTAATCGGGTTTTAAAAGGTAAACACATCAAAGTGCTAGATTCAGTTTAACTACACTACCTCTCTATTTGTAGACTTTTCATCATCAGTTGGACTTGCCTCTTCTTCAGCCTTGTAAGTTTCTTCATCACTAGAGCTGCTACTGCGTGGACTTGCCTCTTGGTCTGTCTGGACTGTTTTTGTATCATTACAAAGCCATGTTGATACCTTAGCTGCTGGATCAGCATAGTTGGGATAACCAGGAATAACATCTTTTGCACCACTAGACAATCATAATAATATATACTTTTAAACAACTGGTAAATATACTTACATATTTATATATATAAATTACATATGTTTGGCTTCTTTGGTGTCTCATACATGATAAACAGATCTATAAATTAGGTGGCATAATTTAGGTTTGTGGCTTAAACTACCTTAGTTTATCACTCTATTTCAAGAAGTTAAAGTCTCAAATTAAACTGGTCTTCACTACCTACTTAATCTGCCATTGCTGAATTATATTCTTACTAACATGATAAGATTCGATTTTTTCTGAAAAGTTCATTTCACCAATAAAAATTACATTAAACTTTAATTTTCTTCGAAAAAGTTTTGTGAAAATCTCTCTCTCTCTCACACACATACACATAACTATAAATACCATCTGTCCCCACCCCAAATATTCAGTGTGTTGAGTAATATTTCTGTGACTGGCTTTGTTTTAGTCAATTATATTTGTATTAATGATCCTTCTAAAGTCCTTCATAATATAAATGTTGAATGTGGAACATCAATTCAAAGTAAAGAATGCAGGAGTGCTGTGTATTACCTAAAGTCCCACTGGCCAGAGTCTTGTCGAAATGGGCTGAAGTCGACAGAAAACATGCTAAGTGGCCGTCTGTTATCACCACCACACATGTAAGAATGCATTGCTGTTTGACGCCTTTGCTAAAAAAGACACAGATGATGATTAAGATCTCAATTATAGCCTAATATGAAATAAATTGATTACAATGTTTTCTCCAAATATGTTGTTGTGATTTTTTTTTATTCATACTTCTACAGAAGTATGTTCATAACTACTGAAAAAGTTATTGCAAGTTTTTAAGAAAGAAATGTGTACTGCAAAGTCTTTCTATATTAAACTTTACTAAATATAACTACCAGACATGTTGATTTAACACCAAGTGAGTTTACTAGAAAATCTGATTACAGCTTAACAGTAACGCATGTGATTTACATCTTACGTCCAATCAATTTTGATTCATCCCATTACGATTGACCACCTGTTTTAATGAAATGTAGAACACGTATTCACAAAAAACAAATGCACAGCTAACCCAATTAAACAGTACCCCTAATTTACTCCTGAACATGTACATGATGATAAAACAAATTTATGTTAAATTTAGGCAAGGTATTTAAGTGATACTACAAAAATAAAATGAACCACCACATAACAACAGCTTACTTTTTCAACTATTTCAGCTTGTCCAGCAAAATGTTCTTCAAGCACTAATTTTGCTGCCTGCAAAGTAACACATACATATAACACAGAGTTGAAGTTATCACTCCTTTAAAAATACCAGATGAGAAAAGATTTGAGCTGTCAAGTAAATATAGGCTGTACAATGTAATAAGATACTACAACGTTTAAAATTTGTGGTTTGCTCTATATTTCGACAGGATATTTCAGATATTTTACTCTCTAAGTTCCAGTAAAACCAGATGTTAGCATTCCAAATAAGGTCTTGGAAGTCCAAGTCTTAAATCATATTTACCTACACACAGAACAGTTTGTTTTGTTCAATTTAATGCAAAGTTACTCAAGGGTTATCTGCACTAGCCATTTCTAATTTATCAGTGATATAAGAGGAAAGACAAAGAGTCAACACCACCAACGCTTGGGCTAGTCTTTACCAAGGAATAGTGGAATTGATCACTACCTTATACTCACCCCTCCCCGAAGCTGAAAGAGTGGACATGTGCATATTTAAGTGATGGGATTCAAACCTGTGACCATGTCACGTTAGGCTTCACACAGTAGTATGTTCAAATGAAAACTAACTGACAAACAGACATTGAAAAACTGGATGCAAAACCTCAAAGAAGAATCAAATGGAAAAAATATTAATCATCATTATTCTTCATCTTACGATTTTTTAAATATAAAATCCATGGGTACAAACAATGTAGATGTCACTGATAATGTTTCACACAATGTGACAATATTAGACACATTAACAAGCCACGCACGTGTGTGTATTATAGAGTAATAGAATTCTCTTTATACATATTGTAATAGGTTCACATCCAATACAATAGTTTAGTCAGTATTGAATATTAACAAGAAACTTGAAAGGTTTATGTTTTCTTACCGTTACCAAGTCCTTTTTCTCACTGAAGACTTTAATTGTATCTCTTCCAATGTACACAGTATGGCTGTATTCACCCATTGTGGCATCACCAGTGCTATAACTGTGGATAAGAGACTTTCTGCTACTAATATTGAAAGGTGAGGGGCCAGCACCACTGTCCTCTGAAAGATTACTAGCTAGGCTAGATGATGAGCCGCTACACTCAAGACCCGGTGTTTCTGTTTTTTCCTGAAAAAAAACAATGAAACAACTTACTACAAGGAACTGAGATCTCCTTTCCTTATTACAAGCTCACTGCTTTCTCTTTTCAGATAACTATTGAATCAGTACATCCATAATTTGTACCTAGACTTGAGTTTTATTTTATAAATCCAAGAAGTGTGAAAATTTTATGCTTATATTTTTATTGTTTAATTGTTTGTTTGTTTGTTTTTTGAATTTCGTGCAAAGCTACACGAGGGGTATCTGTGCTAGCCGTCCCTAATTTAGCAGTGTAAGACTAGAGGGAAGGCAGCTAGTGATCACCACCCACCACCAACTCTTGGGCTACTCTTTTATCAACGAATACTGGGATTGACCATCACATTATAACGCCCCCACGGCTGCAAGTGCGAGCATGTTTGGTGTGACGGTGATTCAAACCCGTGACCCTCAGATTGCAAGTCGAGCGCCCTAACCACCTGGCCATGCCGGGCCTACTGTTTAATAATTTCATACCTGTAACATTTATATTTCTTTTAAAAAAATTCATTTTATCACTTAAAAAATTTTAATCTTTCATTAATTTTGTTTTCTTTTTTTTATTATGATTTTACATGCTTTTAGATTCTGAATTTTTATGCTGACCTATATATATTTACTTGCATTCTTATTTTTCCATAAATTGAGGCTTTGGACCACTTAAACATCAGATCAAGTCACTAAACAAGTTTGTAAGTTCTACATGTTTTCAAGTACTTACCCTTACTGGAGATGCATTACGTCGTATTGTATCTTCAATCAAGGCTTTAGCATGTCTAATGTAAAGAAATGAAGCACAGAGTAACAAAGACTGTTCATCAAATAAAAACTATATGAAATTAATGAGTAAACTGAAATTTCATTTAAAAAACATATTAAAAATTTTGTTTTCAGAAATTCTCCAATACATATTTTCTCTGATTATTTTACTATCTATACAACTATCTGAGTGTGGTTCTTGTTTTCTGATAATTTTTTCTTCTTTGGCTGATTATTTTTTTAAACACCATCATTGAAGTATATCCATGAGATATGTTTTAATCCACGCACACAATTGTTCTCTTCTTTACGATTGCATATAAAATACACACGTAGTTACAAAACAAAAATTATATACACTCAAAAACAAAATATATCAGTAATATGTACATGTAGGACACAAACAAATTCCGTAAAAATGTTTAAACAAACAAGAATTGGAATTCTTTCCACATTGTGAATAATGAAATTAATGGTTCAAGTCTGCAACATTATACAGAGGTTATGTTATACTAAAATGCTTTTGGAGCCTGACTATGTCATTAGAGTCAACATTTGGTCATATTCTATCTAATGACTGTGCACCTTGACAAAAGCCTGCATCATAGTTTCTAAACTAAAAGACAGTTGTCATGACCAAAAAATGCTACCCCTCCCTACATGGTTTCCATAGACCACCTTATGTATGAAGACGATAACTTCCAAGTAACTGTTTCAACAATTCAATTAAACATAAATGCATAGATGCTGTGTCCAATGAGTTGATTTGTATGTCTTTATACGGAATAACATCTGTTTAAGATATGCTGTGACTGAATGGATATTTCATCGAAGCAGCCTGTGTAAATGCAACTTATGTTGCTTTTCCAAACAGAGATCCTTCTTGATTACGTTCCATACTGTTGGCTGGAACACATGGATGGCTTTTGCCACTGACATCTGTGTTCAAAGATTCTCACCTGTTACAACATATTGCACTTTGCTTACTATGAATGGGATACAACTTGTTATAGGTCTTTTTCTTGATGGTCCTGGCTTCCCATGTTGATCCATATTCCTTTGTTTGCAAATGCCATTAAGTTAAAGGGATACCTACATCTTGGTTCTTCTAAATCCCAATCTAAACACATCTTTGTGATCTGAATTTATGAATATTTTGCAGTAGAAAGGGCTGATACATACCCTTTCCAAAGGCAATAAATGCTACCTGCTACCCATAAAACAATGTCACAATATAGTTCTTATAGATGCTATTCTTCTACAATTTTGTATATTCCAAATCGTTTTTAATAAGACATACTCAACCTTCTACTGTGAAACAACTACATAACTCTTTGTTATGTAAATGAGTTGCTTATGTAAAAGTTTTCCCCCCTAAACTGACTTTTATCTACTGTTGTAAAACTACTAAGTTGGTCAAACACATTGACACAATCTTTATCATCGTCATATTCACTCAATCTCTTATCATTGTCTTAAGATCTTTTACTTATTATCAACTCAGCAGACCAATCACAAAGACTGAAGTGTTCATAACTTAGTGTTCTTTTACTGATATAGGATATAATTTTTATTCATTTGTCTAACTTGAGTTTATGTTTGTTTTTTGCATTATTATGAGGAGTAGTTTGTGTGTCCCTATTTTAGGCCCTTAACATACCCCAAGTAGCACTGACTAGAGATCAATGTCTTATGTTACATTTCTCAACCACTATCTATTTTTTGTGTTTGGTGTGAGTGTGTATTTTGTGGTTTTCTTTTGTACAGAAATGAAATTTCAATTAAAAAATAATAATAATGACTTTGACCTTTTAGTCCTAACATCAGTAAAATTTTTCTTCATCATGCCCCCCAAGTGGCACAACAGTATGTCTGTGGACTTACAATGCAAGAAATTGGGTAGGCAGAGCACAGATTGATTTGTTTGTTATGAATTTTGTGCAAAGCTACGTGAGGGCTATCTGTGCTAGCCTCCCTAATTTAGCAGTGTAAGACTAGAGGGAAGGAAGGTAGTCATCACCACCAACCGCCAACTCTTGGGCTACTCTTTTACCAATGAATAGTGGGATTGATTGTCACATTATAATGCCCCCACAGCTAAAAAGGGCGAACATGTTTGGTGGGACAGGGATTTGAACCCGCAGGTTGTGAGTCGAGCTCCCTAACCACCCTGCCATGCCAGGCCCAGAGCTATCTGTTGCTTAACTACAAATAAACAATCTTCTTCATCCTAGATCCACCTCCCCAAACAATTTCATAAGGGAGAGATAAAAACAGATTCATCATTTTAAAAAAATGACAAAATTTGACACGATCTAAAACGTATATACAAGAAAACTAGTTTCTTCAGAAACCCAACTATTAAAGTACAAAAAACAATCAAACTCTTAGTTGCTTAGATGAAGCCACAGAGATTAATTTATAAAATAATCTATAAACAATTTTTTAAAGAGGAGGGAATAAAAGGAGAAATATAATATAAATATGAAAATCTGATGCAGAAAAGACTTCTCCTGCTAATGAACTCCTAACATTAACTTACTCTATTGATTCTTCATTGGAGCCTGTTATCTGGACAAGACGATCTCGAGCACCTGGGCTTACTACGAAGATGAAAAACAATTGTTTTTATGGTATTTCAAAGACATAACATCTGCTAACGTATATGTCAAGGATGCAGACACATCACATGCCTTAGGAGAAATGCATGCAGATTCCATGAAGACATCCCAACAAAAGCTGTAAGAAACATGCATGCAGTGGACACCTACTTCCAGACTTTTGGAAATACCAATATTTATAATGGGAAATAAGAAAACTCTCAAATCATAAGCAAGCTTATTAGTTTCAATGTCCGTGACATATTTTTACTAATGAATCTACAGTAAAGATGAGATATTTTACTTGTCTTCCAGTAAAGCATTGTCTCATGAGTTTGAAATTTTGTACTACCATAAAAAAAAATGGTATTTCCATTCAAGCTTACCAAGTTCAAGTTTCAGATCAGTATTGATATATTAAGACAATTCGTTAAGTGCCTAAACATTATTTTGGCACTGGAAGAGTGGTTTGTCTACAAATGTGGCAGTGAAGGAGTTAAAATATTAAATTTCCCTAAAATCCAAACACAAGTAGTTACGAGATCAATAAAAGCGACTAGAAGATAAAGGTGATTTTCATGCAAAATAATGCAGATGTAGAATGAGAGTTTGTTTTTCTATACTGTACAAGTCCACATGTACACACCAATTCCATGCTGGATTACAGTAACCACAGAGATGTTCAACTTAATCTTTCAAAACTTCGCTTAAACAGAAAAACAAAGAGGTAATAATTTCTGTCTGTATGGATTTTAAACCCGATCAATCTTAAACACTCTGAGCAACGTAACTGTGTGAACAAATTAAGATGTACTTTAATAAAAAGTTGGATTACACTAAGTTGATATCTTTTGTGCACTTCATTGGAGCTAGCTTTTAACCCTCTTCAGAAGATGTCATTAGGCTTAATGAATAAGAAACACATTGGTGCATTTAAAAGTGTACAGATAAAGAAATAATTCAACAATAAATGTCTACCAAGTGTATAGATAAAGAAATTATTCAACAAGTTTTATCTATACACTTGGTAGACATTCGAAATAATTGAACAATGAATGTCTACCAAGTGTATAGATAAAGAAATAATTCAACAATAAATGTATACCAAGTGTATAGATAAAGAAATTATTCAACAGTGAATGTCTACCAAGTGTATAGATGAAGAAATAATTGAACAATGAATGTCTACCAAGTGTATAGATAAAGAAATAATTGAACAATAAATGTCTACCAAGTGTATAGATGAAGAAATAATTGAACAATGAATGTCTACCAAGTGTATAGGTAAAGAAATAATTCAACAATGAATGTCTACCAAGTTTATAGATAGAGAAATAATTCAACAATGAATGTCTACCAAGTGTATAGACGAAGAAATAATTGTACAATGAATGTCTACCAAGTGTATAGATAAAGAAATAATTCAACAATGAATGTCTACCAAGTGTATAGATAAAGAAATAATTGAACAATGAATGTCTACCAAGTGTATAGATAAAGAAATAATTCAACAATGAATGTCTACCAAGTGTATAGACGAAGAAATAATTGTACAATGAATGTCTACCAAGTTCTATACACTTGGTAGACATTCATTGTTCAATTATTTCTTTATCTATACTAATGGTTGAAACAAGCATGTTTAAAAAACAGAATTACATAAAATATTTTTTCATAACAGAAATAAAGGGGAGCTATGGTGTTTATTATTTTGATGATTACCTGTTTTTTAATTATTAAAGCTTCTTTAATTTTTCTTTTGTTAATATCTAATCAGTGACATTTTCTTTTGTATTGTTAATCAGCCTAAGTAGTGTGTTAAAATACAAGAAAGTCTAAAAAGCTCTTTCGATTAAAATGAAAGCTACATTTTATTGTATGTCCACTTGCTTGTAAGTCAACTATGTTTTTGAAGGTCTATCTTGTTGTAGTTACAAGTGAATGTAATTCATTTCACAAGAATTATTCTTAACCAACTGGCTGTTGACTTGCCATATAGGGTATGATCTGTCTCCGGTAACTGAATACGAGTGTGCCATATGTAGTGTAAAAATTCTGCACATGTTAGGAGCAGCCACGGTCAATGAGTTAATCAAAAGAACCTAAAAAGTCACAATAATATTAACAAGTAGATGAATCTATATGAAGATTGTTCAACAAAGCAACCACTTACTGCTTTTGTAAGTTACTGAGGTAAGTACACACATACAATTGTGAATATTGGAAAGAATACAAAAATATCTGCACATACACACCCACACATGTACAAAAAAAATACTGTAGTAGCTTCAGAACAGAAGCAGAAATGTGTCAACAAACACACAAGTTAAATATTGAAAACATATCTTTAGCAAAGTAGATATTAATGTTTAAGTTTCTCGTAAAAGCTTTGGCAGGTCAACCTGAAAACATTTCAGCCAGTCAGAAGCATTTGGAGAATCATGCAATATGAAAACATGCTAATTAACTTCACCTCTCTGAAAAGAGATGACAGTGTCGCTCAGCTCCTCAATCATGTGAACTCTTCGGCCTTTGATTCCCATTACTTAAAGGAAAATAAAATTAATTTATTTAAGTGCAAAGTTTAAACCACATATTCATTATTCGTTTTTAAAACATCATTTTATAATTTAGCTTCAGGTTTTGAATAACTAAAGTACAAATATTTTTACAAATTAAATTTAATGGTTCATAAAACTAACATCTAGTAATACTGATGTAAAAAAAATCATCTAACATATCTGCAGTATACTAATTTTATTAGTGAAAAACAAAACACGGAATTAACAGCAACATATTAAACAATTTCAGTCAATGTAAATACTGAATTACAAGTAGGGCTTCCGATATTTGGTTTTAACTGATAAACACAGAGAGGACACCTCCAATATAAACATAGTGAAATTGGTGCGTATCCAATAAACAATGGATATTGTTAATCAATTCACATTAACTTTCTCAGTGCAGTTACTTATACAATGTCCTTCCTTCCAGACTTTTATCTAGCATTAACTTGTTCTTAGTACTTTTTACTGAAGGGTAGCAAAGGTTAAACAAACATGGAAATAATTCTGATACATATAATAAGTCATGAAATACAAATTGGAGAAGAATTTTTGGAAAAAGCTGTAAAAATAATTCTGATACACCATATAAAAAGTGAGAGCCTTCTCCCCCCAAATTTCAGGGTATCTACCCAAAACTCAAAAATAGCAAAACAAAAGCACCAAAAATGAAATGAATAAACACCAAAAACAAAAACCCTTATTATAAGCTTGTATTACATTTTCTTATCATACCATTTGATTTTGTTGTGCTTCAACCGTAATGAAATTACAGCAATACTACTCTTTACTTTTACTTCTTTAATCTGTACTGTAATAAGTTCTAGCCATGCTCAAATTTATTTATTTTTGAACAAAGTGCAAAACTGTCCATTAATTGGTATGTCATCTGACTGAAAAAATTCTTATTGAAATGAGTGAACAATTTAAAAATTGAGGATAAATATTCTTCTGAAAAAGTATTCAAAAGGTAAGGAAATAAAACTTTTTAAATTTTAGGATACAGAAAAAGAGGTAAAGGGGAAAAATAAGTTACATATGGACTATATACTTTTGTTGCTCAATCTGTGTGCTAATGGCTCTTTTGTCAACCAATCAGAATAGTGGAAAAATTTAGATGAATATTTACCATTGTTATGATCTCTCTCACTATCCACCATTCTCCAACACATGATGCTATGTTAACAGGCTCTCCAGCGTTCCTAGTTTTCCTAGTTTTTTGAATTGGTTCCTAGTTTTTACAAAAAGCTCCTAGTATTCCTAGTTTTTTTTTAAATTGAAGAAGTATTTTTTCATG